ATACCTAATAAAATTAAAATTCAGATTGTTTTTTTTTTTAATGGATGATAATGGAATGATAACTCTGCCTGCGCTAACGGTATACACTGGCGGGGCACCAGTGAGAGATGATAGGTGAGGATGAAAAATCAGATCAGTAAGCCCATCATGATGAAAACATCTGGAATCCAACACGATGGTTTCTAGGTCCTCCACGTGGAGGTCGACCCGACGGGGTATATTGCTAACACTAGCTAGCTAGCTAGGATTGTTAGTAATGAAGACTGGTAGTCTGCATTACTAACAATCCCTTTCCCCCTAAGATTGATATTCAAAACTCGAACAATGTACAAATAATTTTATTCGATGACGATGAAGTTTTTGAAATTCCGTCATAGATTTGCGTTATTTTGATTAAAGTATAAAAATCAGTGTAAATTTATATAAAGAACAATTAATTGGAATTCTTTGGAAAACACAACACGCCTTTGGCTGAACTGATTTGGCAATATTTTTAATTTTCTCAATAGACCAATTAAGGTTTAGGAAAGGAAAGAATTATGTCTACCAAATTTTATTTAAATTCGTTCAGTAGATTTTGTGTGAAAAAATAACAAACATCTATCCATCGTTAGAAAAATTTCGCATTTTATTAATTATATTAATAGAATAATAACATTTTAGATAATAGAATAGATAGATTTATAGATAGATAGTCGTCCTCCGTTTAGCCTGCCTGCGACGTGGATCGATCCCCGGCCAGGTCATGATGGAAAACGATCTTTTCCTGATTGTCCTGGGTCTTGGATGTTTATCTATATATATGTATCTATTATAAATATAGTACCGTTGAGTTAGTATCCCATAACACAAGTCTCGAACTTACTTTGGGGCTAGCTCAATCTGTGTGATTTGTCCGTATATATTTATTTATTTATTTATTTATACAAAAACTAACTAATAATAATAATTTAGATGTGATATGGAAATGATACCTATGAAATTTGAGAATTTTCCTCAGTAAGTAAGTAAACAGAAAATTATTTTCTTGGTATGTAAATCTACATTGTAATGTAGATCTGTAATGCTCCTCTTTATGTCATATGTTCTATATATTTATTGCTACTTTCTTTCAGGTGGACAACTTGGCTGTCTGCCATTTTAAATAACATATTTTAGCATTTACATTCATTCTCTTCATTCACCGTGTGGTCCCAGTATAGAATAGGCCATCCCTTCCTTTCCCGTGGCTGTCATAAGAGTCGACTAAGAGAGCGAGGAATGGGCAGCAGCGCCCCTCTTAATACATCTCTAAAAGCCAAACTGCGGTTGCCAACCCGCCTGCCAAGCGTGACAACTATTGGCAAAACTCCTTTTATGGGGAAGACTTATGTTCAGCAGTGGATAGTTAACGGCTGAAATAATAATAATTCATTCTCTGTTTGTAAATGACCTTGCAAAGAGGGAGTTTCACAATTCATCTTTATATATATATATATATATATATATATATATATATATATATATATATATATTTTATATGTTATTGTCTATTTATGACACAAAAGTCAAACTTTTATGTTGCTACCTACATTATTATTTTTCTAAATAGTCTGATATAAAATAGATAATCGAACTCTTTCAAATATGGTTTCTATTTTATATGTATTTGATACTATTTGTTTATTTGATTCTGACTCGAGATTGATATTGACTCAGAACAAAAAAAAATACCAGTTATTGTTTTGTGTCTATTGAAATAATCAATTTTTTTATGCAATTTAGCATGGCTGATAGACCACTTGATGAAAAATGGCCACATGTATATAAGCGACGTAGGTATACTTAGTTATGTCTATGGATTACCATGAACATAACTAAGTATACTGTGTCGCCCATGATACCCTCCTCTCATTATAACAAGTAATTATCTAGTACCATAATTTATAGTGCTTAGTACTTTACTTGTATACGGACATTTCGATATGCCTGTCCAGTTTCAAATACCTTAATTTATGATTAAGACATTGATAGCAGCTTGATCATAAATACATGTTTATTTATTTAAAACATATCTGTTACCGAGATTCAACATAATACGTTTGAAATGCGACAGAGCTTACCCGGTTTTCCTTTGAGTATTTTCGGATTTCGAGCTCTATTTACATAGATATGTATTTTGTATTATAAACAAGGTGTAATAAAAAGAGTATTTTCGAATTCAAATCCGGTGAATTACGAATTCAAAATCAGGCGATAATATTTATAAAACTCAATTTTCTCCAAAGAGGATTGAAGACTGGAATACAAAAAAATATCCTTCATACGAACTGCACGGTCACTTGATCAAATTAATGCAGACGTTTCAAAAATTACTTTTATATTTCGACCCATATACCTTGGAGAAAGTTGGACAGTTTCGTGAATACTGTTACTAGATTTTGATCGTTACAACTTATAGGTGTGAATTCTAATAAAATAAGCAATACTGCTTAAAGATCTTTCAAACTTTGTAACATAATTTCTAGATTTTTTTTATACAACTTAGAATGGCAAACAAGCTGACGGCCCACCTGATGGCATGTGGCAACCATCGCCTATAGACAAGCAGTACCATGGACATGTAGTAATATAAATTTTATTATTATTATTATTACACATCAAAAATAAATCCTTTTTTTATGCATTTTGGAATTAGAAACAAGCTAACTATCCGCTTAATAGAAAATGGTATTAATTGTATATATATCAACAATACCACGGATATTACAATATATACTGTAATTCCTTTAGTACTTCTTATTTGTTACCATTCCTGATGACTAAAATGATCAGTGCACTTTGTTAAGTTTTCAATTGTAATCTTTTGAAGACAACAATAAATATCTATATATAAATTATATGTTTATCTAATTAAACAATAATCAATGTTACATAAAAATTACAGTAAAATACAAAAATCCTAGAAAAAATACCAGATCTTCAATAAGATATTCATTTAAAATCTTTATACCAAGGAGAATGATAGAAGAAAATGACAAACTCATGGCAGCATGTGGGCCAGATTGTTGCGTTCCCTAAAATATGGTTGAGTGCAATGAAAGCTGGTTTACCCGTTATATCAATTTTGAACGAGTGCTGGTTGTGGTTTATTCAAATTATTACTACTGATTTCATTATTATATTAATTTAAAATGCAAGCTGACTTTTGACAAGCAAAATGACACGCATATGAAATAATTATTACTGTGGCATCGTTTGATTTCGATTCGAAAATTATAGCCTATTATGGATCGCTATATTTTAGCTGTCTCCATAAATTTTGCCATGTAATACAAAAGAATTTATTTTTAAAGTCATGTACATTGACAGTTTTTCTTGAGTATAAATGTTTCTAAACTAGCTGAATCATTAACAGTCTATTAAAGACTTTATTGATTATTATTCTATTATTAAAGACTATATGTATAAACTCTACAAGACGGTTTTCAGCTCTAACATGAGACCGGCGATGCAGGTATATTCTGTCTTACAGTACCTAGACTGCAACCAAATAATATTACTTTGTTGTAGTGTTATGTTCCTGCGGTAATTAAGGCTACAGAGTATTAAAGATCCTTAGAAGTTCCCTTTACCTGAACAGTTCCAAAGAGCGGGGGGAGGAGGAGGGGGAGGCGTGTAGGTTAGCAACGCGCATGTGACAATTGTGTTGTAAACGTCATTACCTATACCGTAACCACTTATGATCAGGCGCGCCGTATGCTTATTCTTAATACCGTCGTAGTCTAAAACAATAACCTCCTAATATATAAACGTATCTTAACTACTATTGAAGTGTTTAATCTATTTCTTCTTTGAAAAAAGTAATAAAACACTTGTTTTTTAGAGGTATTAATTTTTATAATTATGAAAGTATCTATCATCTTTTTTATATCAACTTTTTTTTTATTTTTTATGAAACATCAAACCTAAATTATTGTTAATAAAAATATTGTTACCCGATAGTAAAATATTGAGGCGCCCATGTACACAAATGGTAAGCATATAAATTTAAGTCCAGGAGGGGGACAACGAGATAATAATTAAATAAATAAATGTAGACCGCAGTGCGATCCCGCCTGCAAACCATCGTGGTTAATTCTCGAAGAATTCTTCACGATTGACCAACTGAACTGTTTACACAGTCATCTATTATCCCTCACTAGCGCCCCGTCAGTATATAACGAAAGCGTTGGCGGAGTTGCATTATGATCCTTTAAAAAATCATGTAATCTATATATAGGTATAAATATATAGTATGAATACTTATCAGAACACGACGGACCCGTCATTTCACCGTCACAAATGTCAAATGAGAAAGTCTCGGTTTTTTTTTTCGTTATTCATCGACAGTTCATTCATCGAAGTGAAACATTGACAGATCCATTGTAACCACGAACAATAGACGTCGAACCACCCAAATTTGTAATAATAAGGTCTTTTTTCATATCACCCTGTGAATCGTTTGACGAGGGAAATCTGAAGATTATTAGGCACTTGAATCATTTTCCCTAAAACCCAATTTAAGTTATAACATAAAATTAACATAAAATATTTACTACCTACCTTTCCCCCAGTATACTTAATTCAGAAACACAATATATAACTTTAACAAAAAAAAATATTTAATTACAATAATGTGCAGCACTGTCGAAATAGAAGGAATAATAAATAAACAATAACACGCACGTACCAATAAACACAACAATGAAAAACGACAACAAATTTTTCATTATTAAAATTTTTATTAATAAAATATTATTCTTTAAACAAATCTTTGATTTTAAGGAGTAATTGTCTAATGTCATATTTCATTAAAGTACTAAAAATTTCTGACAAACAATTCATAATATAACTCAACCAAGAATAAAGTCATGCAATTTCAACTTTACTTCATGGAACTTATTACAACTTTAATCGTATGCAATAAAAGTAATCAAACATTTAAATTTAGAAAAACAATTCTAAAATTGCATACATACCAAGCAACCGTTGAGCTGTTTCAGTACCGATAATATTATTTGTTGCAACGCGAGAGGGCGCGAGGGAGACAGCGAGAAAAGCTCCTTAACAACTTTTTAAGGGAGCGCGAGAAGTCGGGCGCAGCGCGAGCCGCGGTTACCGGCGATTCATTAAGAACCAGCGTGGAGGCTGCGAGTAGCTCACCCCCGCTCGCCCTTGCTCACCCCCTGGACTGCAGCCACCGCGCAAGCGCCCGCCGTCTCCAATCCTGGCCCTGTTGCTTCTGACGGCGGCATAACGTCAAAACGCAAACGTTATGAATACGCTTAATCGTCGCTGAATCTACCGACAATCGCGATCATCTACGTTTAGATTAGAATAACTTCTGCGGACACGACAGTATCTGTAATACTTGTGAAGGAACATCCCTAGCTCATAAAAGGTTTATTTTAAAAGTTTTCTTGAATTTGTCTTAAAATGTAAATTAAGTAAAAAACTGACTAAATTAATAGCCACTTTACATGACAAATTTTAAGCTAGTATTTCATACTACTTACTATATTACGTAGACACACAAAACGATCAAATGTAGTATTCTAGGTATAACTACTCGTATTTAGCAACTTTCTATTGTAAAAAATTATTACATGATTACATGATGAATAAAAATCAGGTAGATGGATTTACCATTCTTATTATTAAATTATCATTTGTAATTTTAAATTCAACAACATAATCAGCTATTATAAGTAAATAATGTAATATAATTTCAAACAATCACTTCCGTTAGCTGATTTTTCATATTAGTTGAAGTAGTTATTTAAATGGGCAACCAATAGAATGCATATAGTTTTCTACCCTTCGTACCTCCATCAGAACGTACAAGCAAAGTCTAAATCCCTTAAATACGCTGCCCAGATATTTATGGTAGGGCTAATAGCATGAGTTAAGCCAGGGTTAAGCGGCCTAAAGCTATACAATATTTTTCAAAAACAAATGTTAAACATTTACTAAAATATTACTTCCTTGTTAACATTCCTAAATATAGTAAAACTTGTAGGTTTTCTGTACAAACGATAATATTTTGACCACTCTTATTTAGTAATGATAAGCCCGCTCCCTTTATATAAAGAAAAATAATCAGATGAATGAATGCCCTTGAGCATTCCAGACTCGTCCTTTGAGAAAAGATTTCTGAGATAAAGAAAATGTATGTAAAGAAAACACAAAAGTACGATACCGCAAAATAAATATTCAAAAGAATCCTCCGCACAAATTATTTCTATATAAATAGAATAATACTTGATGAAATTATTATCAGAATTTAAAAAAAAAACACTTCAGTGAATGTACTCGTACATTTGTATATATAAATGTATTGATATAAAAAGTAACTGCCTGATTTACCATAAGATATCAATACATAACCCAAACCACAAATATATAAACGTGAAACTATTCTATAGAGATTTTTTTATAAAATATTTTTAGTTAATACGAAGAAATTATTCAATCATTTGCATAAATAGTTGAGTAGCAAAGTCTCATATCTATGTGATGAAAACTTTTTATATAGTTTTATATTGATAATGATGATTATAGGTACTTGAAATTTCAAATACATCTAAGCCGTAGCGACTTTAATAGTATAGATATAGTAGCCGTATAGAATTCAAAATTCTATACAGCTTCTATTTAAAATGCGAAAGTTTAAAAATATCTTTAGATATTTAGATATTTGTTGCTGAATCACGCTAAATGGTTGAACTGATTTCAATGAAATTTAGTATTCAAAGAGACCACTTTGTAGATTAACATTTAGGTTGTTCTTATTCTAATACACGCGAGGGGAGAGAAAGGGATTGTTAGTAATGGAGACTAAGAATCCCATTGCTATCAATATACCCAACCAGGTCGACCTCCTCGCGGTTTTTCCCTGGAAACTATTATGGTTAATTCCTGATGAATTCATCATGATGGGCTAACTGGCCTGTTTTCATTCTTATCTATCACCCTTCACTAGTGCTCCGCTAGCGTATCCCGTTAGCGCAGGCGGGGTTATCATACCACTTTCACCTATAAAAAAAATACACGCGAGGAAAATTACGGGACACGACTAGTATTATGAAACATCCAATTTATGACGCAATGAATACATGACGAATGGTAGTAGTCCTTTGAAGTTATTGTTAACATTTAAAAGTGCATGTAAGTGTCTTATATAAAGCAGTAAAAGAACTATAAAATACAGAGAATAATATATCATTTTTTTTTATACAACTTAGAATGGCAAACAAGCTGACGGCCCACCTGATGGAAAGTGGTAACCGTCGCCTATAGACATAAGCAGTACCATGGACATAACAGAGTATACTGTTTCGCCCATGATACCCCTCATGCGTTGCCATTCCTGAGGACTCAGATGTTATTCCTCTGTACCCAGTTAATTTACACCATATCCCACCCTTCAAACCGAAACACAGCCATGCAAACACAACTGCTTTACGATTGAAACACGAATGGGACAGAGGTACCCAAATAATCGACTTTTGTACAAAGTCTCCCTCTGGTGTTTACTACATTTTCTCGAGTATGCAATCAACTTGCACTATTCCAAATTGTATAAAAGTACAATGTGAAAGTACTCTCTCCTTTCCCGTAGGTGTCATAAGAAGAGACTAATGGAACTTAATAGTCGAAGGATTATCTCTGCTCTTAAAGCATCACCAAAGCTTAACTGTGGTTGCCAATGCAAACACAACTATGTTAATTGTCCACTGCTGACATATGATGATAATGTGAAAATATTTACAATTGCGTTAATTAATTGGGTTTAACAGGCGATATATATACGTATTGCAGATGAGAAATCTCATCTAACTCCTGAAACACAGGTTTTTTCATACCCACCTCGGGAGTTAGGGACTTCAAACTATATTGTAACAAAGAGGGAAATAAAGATTTTTTTAATTTATTGTAGACATATCCCTCTATCATGTACTAAAACCTATAACTCGATTATAACAGAATTAATTTCTTAGCATACTTGCGTTGTCTTGAATAAAAATTCCTGAAATTAATTCAATGTTTTGATTGTAACATAAGAATATTACGTGTATGTTATAAATAATGTGCTGCCAAATTTATAATTTGATGAGAATATATCAAATAATAAAATATGCGAGTAAAGCTGCGCTATATATGTCAGTCAATATGGAGTTAATTTTATACGTTGTAAATTATAATAAACATATTTAGGTCAAATCATTTTAATTAACCAGGTTTAATTTATCCTAATCATATGCTTCACTTTACGTAACAAAATTAAGCTTAATTCAGGCTTAACCTTCGTCAAATGCCTACCAATTTGAGTAAATATTTTTTTCACAAATACAATTATTGTTATTATTGTTGTATATTACATTATAATATCTATTTGCCTATAAATGAGACAGAGTTTCTTTAAAAGAATTATTAAAACTTTTTACATTTTATAAGTACTTATACAACGGAATTATATTTTAAAATGTCTATTTGCTACAGTCCAGCAAATAAATACCTGTAACACATTGTTATAATATACTAGCTGATGTCCGCGACTTTGTTTACGTGGTATTTGTTATTCCTATTTAGTATATATCGATGTATGTACCTAGTTATTTATTATGTTTGGGAATACTGGACCAAAATTAACAAATGTGTTGTTCTCACACTTTGCCTTAAGTCAAAATGACTTTACGTAAGTAGGTTTTTGTACTAAGCTGTTTTTTAAGTATCCCACGGGAACTCTTTAATTTTCCGTAATTATAAGTATCTAAATTATTGACCGGGGATGTAAGGTACGGTAAGGTTTCAGAGATAAGCCTGTACAGACAGACAAACAAAAAAAATCTCGATGTGTTGTATTTCACTTCTAACATCCCTCTCTCACTCGGTTTTTAGCGTCTTTTTTTCTATGTATAGACATTCGACCTCTTCAGTTTTGTTATATGTGTAAATTAGTATATTCAAAATTAATTTAGAGTACTAATTTGAAGATAAATAGACACAAACCTTTATATTGGTAAATAAATATCAGAAGACTCAATAAGTTTGTTGGTTGGGAAATGGGAAATGTTATGGAAATTGTCTATAATCAGATATTTATCTATCAGATACCTTACCAGTATAGCGTACCACCCGCCCACGTAATGCTATGGACTTTCCATTCCATGCTAATTAAATGCTATCAGTGACTTATTAATATATTCATGACAGACTTAATACGGACCATGCTTCATAATGAAATTTTAATTAAAAAATAATGATCAACCGAACGAATGATGAATGTTCATTATCTTCTTTCATATTTAATCAATCTGATATTTTTATTCATTTATTGTATACTAATTAATATAGTTTTTTTTTTTTTTATGATAAAGCAAGGCAATAATCTTTTTAAATCGACTATTATCAAAAAACTAAACTTTATTAAATACTAAACTATATGAGAATATTTGATATTTTATTAAAATTTTCATTATTGTCATCTCATCACACATCACATTGTCCTACCCATTTCATGTATGGTAATCACAACAAAAAAAAAGAAAATTGACGCCATTATATCAGTAAATTGTGCATTTCTTGAAGAAGATATATGTAAGTATATATATAAAGAGAGCATTATCGAACATATTGCAGTAAAAAAAGTTAGATTGAACACTAATAATTATTTGTTATGATACTTAGAATGGCAAACAAGCTGATGGCTCGTCTGATATACTACATACTACTATATAATTACACTGCTATAATAACAAAAACGTGATGTTTAATTAAAAACTATTAACACATTAATTAGTAGATATTTACTTAAATAAATTACTTGTTTACTACTTTTGGACTTAAAGTGACTGAACCAAACTAAAGACATTAAAAGGGTCAGCCATAAGCACAGGTGTGTGAAATCAAATGTAGACACCTAAATGACTATTGGGTCGAAACCCATTTACTTAATCCTCTGCACATTTCTACCTATGCAAATATACCTATAGGCAGAGTCGATAACATTTCTAATAGCCCGTACTCTTTAGTTAAATTATTTCGGCCTCCGTTTGAAAAGAAACGTAACACAAATCTATCTATAGTAAAATGCTCGTAAAGGAAAATTACACTTCTTATGGGGGCTTCACAC